TGTGAGCACCTTCCTGGCTGAAGTGCTGCTAAGCCCAGGACACTAACCCCCTTTGAGAAAATGAAGTTCTAGGATCATGTCCATTCCTAGGTCTGGACCTCTGGGATAATTTTTAAAACAATTTCTTAAAAAGAAGAAAGTATAAGAAGTCGCTGAATTCAACTCTAGGTTCTAATCCCATGCTTATCACATACGACATCTTCAGTAACAACTTTTTATCCAGTTGTGTGCTGTCCCAACTAACATTCTTCAGGAACTCTAGGGGTTTGTAACACGTTGAAGGTTGAATATCAATAACCTCAGATATGCAGATGACACCACCCTTAAGAAGAGGAACTAAAGAGCCTCTTGATGAAAGTGAAAGAGGAGAGTGAAAAAGTTGGCTTAAAACTCAACATCCAGAAAACTAAGATCATGGCATCCAGTCCCATCACTTCATGGCAAATAGATGGGGAAACAATGGAAACAGTGAGAGACTTTATTTTCTTGGGCTCCAAAATCACTGCAGATAGTGACTGCAGTCATGAAATTAAAAGACGCTTGCTCAGACACAACTGAGTGACTGAACTGAACTGAAGGTTGACACACATGAGTCCTTTCCCAGAAAAAACTCCATGGCCTTCTCCTGCTGTGATCCCAGCTGTGGCCAGCAGATGGAGTCATTTCCTCCCTCCCCTCTCAACAAACTTGCCAAGCAGAAAATCTTAATCAAAAGCTGTGAGGTCCAGGAATGAGAAGACTGGGGCCATCACCAGACACCAGAGCTAAAGAAGGATGAAGGCTGACTACTACCAGGTAAAACCTAGTACATCTAAACCCGGTGAGGATGGAAAGAACAGTCAGTCCTATCGTGGTTTCAGCTCTACAGATTATTTCAGTTTCAGTTCAGTCACTCAGTTGTGTCCAACTTTTTGCGACCCCCTGGACTTGCAGCACGCCAGGCTTCCCCGTCCATCACCAAGTCTCGGAGCTTGCTCAAACTCATGTTCATCGAGTCGGTGATGCCATCCAGCCAACAGCCTCTGTTGTCCCCTTCTCCTCCTGCCTTCAACCATTTAATTCTTTGTTGGGGCTTCCCGGGTAGCTCAAACAGTAAAGAATCTGCAGTGCTGGAGATCTGGATTCAATCCCTGGGTTGGGAAGATCCCCTGGATCAACAAGTCTTTGTTGGGGCTGGGAGAGGGCTGTCCATTGTAAGATGTTTAACATCCCTAGCTGCTAGCCTCTAGATGCCAGCAGCATGCCTCTCCCCAACCAAAAATGTCTGTGACAACCAAAAATGTCTCAGACATTGCCTAATGTCCCCTGAGGGGCAGAATCACTCCTAGTTGAGAACCACTGGTTTATAACCATTAATAGTGTTGGGGCAATGGTCTATACAGAATAGACTCCTGTCTGCGCTTCCATTCCAGGGGTTGCTAGTTTGATCCCTGGACAGAGAACTAAGATCCCACATGCTTCATGGCACCACACACACACACACAAATAATAATAATAATAACTCCTGGGGACCTTCAAAAGATGTACTCTGAGGGCCACTTTCCCTGAAAGCCCAGTTTCCAATGCTTGGGAGTTGGGGAAAGGAAACTAGCAGCCCTCACCTAATGAGTACGAAAGCTAAGAGGGTCACAAAGAAGAAGAAAGAAAGCAAACATGGAATTGAAACCCTCATGGTTAGGACTGGACTCTGAGGTGCAGTTTATTTTAAACCCTAAAGATAAATTAAGGCTCAGAGATCAAGCAACCTGTCTAAGGTCAAACCCCTAGAAAGTGATAAAACAAGGATTTAAACCCAAGACTATCTCCAAAGCCTTAGCTGCAACTTTGGGACACCTGGACCCTTATTTATTCATTCATTCATCCATCTGTTCACTTAACAACTACTTAGTTTCCCCTAGGGCTTACCTGGTGGCTCAGACAGTAAAGAATCCGTCTGCGATGTGGGAGACCTAGGTTCACTTCCTGGGTTGGGAAGATTCCCCTGGAGGAGGGCGTGGCGACCCATTCCAGTTTACTTGCCTGGAGAATCCCCATGGACAGAGGAGCATGGTGGGTTACAGTGCGTGGGGTCACAAAAAGTCAGACACAACTGAACAACTAAAGCCTATGTTCCAAGCTCTGGGAATAGAGTGATGAACAAGATAGTCAATCCTTACATTCATAGACCTTATTGTCTAGTAGGAAATAAAAATGACAAGTAAACAATCATACAAGGTATTAGTCAACACCAGTTATAAGAGCATTGAAGGAAACGCTTACGGAACTAAGTCTGTGCTAAATGATGGACAAAGTAAGCCCTTCCATCCCTGGATACCTGCCCTTTTGCAAGGTGACTTTGCATCAAGAAATGAGTCTATTTCTCTGCCTTGAATTTGTGCTGGCCCTAGGACTTTCTTCAAGTAACAGCATGCAGTAGAAGTGACATTATGTGACTACTGAACTTCAGCATTAAGGAACCTGGCAGCTTCTACTTACACTCTCTTGCTACCCTGAAGCCACCATGTAAGGAAGCCCCAGGTTAGCATCCTAGCTTCCCAGACATTCCAGCTGTCCCAGGTGCTTACACCACTTTGACTGAGGCTCCCTACATGTGAGCAAAGTTACCCAGGAATAGCTAGCTGTCAGTCAACTCAACAACTGACTGCAGCTACAGGGGTTATCCAGGCAAGACTGAGCCAATCAAACTGCAGAATCATGAGCAAATGGCTAAGGGCAGTTTGTCACTCAAAGATAGAAAACCAATTGAAAGTCCTAACCATGTCTGGGGGCGGGGAGTGAGTCAGAAGGCATCTGAAGACACAGGTTCAAGCTGAGACCTGGAGAATAAGTGGGAGTCAGCCTGATAGAGCATGGGGGGAGAGTATCCAGGCAGCAGAGACAACCAGCTAAAGGCAATGAGCTAAAAATAAACTATGTATGTCTGAGGTCCTGTGCAGCGAACAGCAGAACAAGATGGTCTAACTGGAGAGGTAAGCCCAGCACCACAGGTGATGACCAGTGAGTGGAGTGCCTTACTTACTGCCCACCACCCATCTCCATCTCAATCCAGGACCAATTTTTTATCACATTCTGAATACATCCGTAGGCTGTGTCAAGGATGTAAACTTCACTCAGGATGTACGTCAAAGAATTAAAAAGTTGAAAATACAGATGGATGTTAACCTGCCTCTGAGAAACTTGGGAAAGGTTGAGTCACAGGCTTCTGGGGATAAATGGTATGAAGATGACAAGGCAGCCTGAGCACATGGTAAAAAAATGTATTTTTAATAGCTGTGATGACCATCTCAGCTATTATGGCCCCATATTCACTGATCTAAGCTCATACTTAAATGGAAATTTACTTGAAAAGCCCTTTCTTTGCATAATGGGAAGGCAGGCTTGTCCAGTTCCATTTCCCCAAGGTAATAGCTCCAGGACGTAATGGGAGGCCTTGCTACCAGCCCTGTTAATCAGGGGCCCAGAGCATGGGTGACCCCCCTTCTCAGTGTTCTTAATTCCTATTACTCAATAAAGTCCCCCTCAGGATGCCTCACCTCCCAGGTCACTGCTGAGAACTGTTAGGAGGGAGAATTGATTGGACTGACATCACTCTGTTGCTCATGCTGTTCCCAATGGGGAAGATGATACAGTTGGGAGCTCCTTCTGTAGGGGCAAAAAGCTGAGCCTGATCACAGCAGGCTTCCCATCAGGCAGGCTTCCCCCAGGACAACCACAGGACCCCACATCCAAGCAGTTTATTGGCTCCAACCAGTTGAGGGATAAGGGCAGGCTGGGTGTGACTCTGTCTTTATCCAACCTGGCAACTCCTGTTTTCTCTCCTTCCCCAAGAGGGTCCCCGTGCACAGTGCTACCAAAGATGAGCTCATTCACATTTTTTTTTCACTACAAAAGTAAATGTTTACTTAGGATAATAAAAGAAAGCACACGAAGTTACACATTAAAAAAAAAACTGACAGGGACTTCCAGAGTGGTCCAGTGGTTAGGACTTCCTGATTCCACTGCAGGAGACACAGGTCCAATCCCTGGGGGCGGGGGACTGACTAAGATCCCACATCCTGGGCAGTGTGGTTAAAAACACAGAAAAACCCTGATGAATCCCATAACCATTACAAAATCTGAGGGGAAGAAAATGTTTTTATTAACTTCCTGACTGACATACCTTCACAATACATTTTTTCCTACCTTTTAGTCTGCAATTTTTTTTTATTTGAACAATTTCATTCTATTAAACTCTAGCTTGCAAGAGCTTCCTTTTGTTTTTCTTGTTCTTTTTTTTGGGGGGGGTAAGGTATAAGATACATACAATAAAATGTAGAATGTACTAATTTTCACACATGAAAAGTAATTTGATCTTAAGTGTACAATTCAAGGTTTTTTCTTTTTCATAGACACACACTCATATAACCATCACCCAGATCAAGATAAAGAACACTTCTGATAGGTATTTACTCTTAGTCTAATTTTATTAACAGTAATACCTTTTATTTATTTTTATTTTTCAACAATAATACCTTTTAAAATAAATTGACTGAGGTCCAGGCATTAGACTAAGAGCTTTATGGAACATGATATCATTTGATCTTCACAACAAAGTACCACTATCATCTCCATTTTACGGATGGAGAAACTGACGCTTTGAGAATTTAAATGCCTTGTAAAAGGTCACCCACAGAAGCAGGTGCCAATGTGACACTCGAATCCAAATGTTAGACTCCAAGGCTCATGTGCCTAACCACTGCCATGTGTATGTTAGTCGCTCAGTCGCGTCTGACTCTTTGGGACCCCATGGACTGTGGCCTTCCAGGCTCCTCTGTTCATGGAATGCTCACAGTTGAGCTACTAGGGAAGCCCAGTCACTACCACAGCAGGGGGCATCCACTGGCTTCACTTCAAAGTAACCGACTGCCTCCACCATTTTTGCTTTATTTTTCTTCTGTTCCCCAGGAACGACTGGGCTCCCTTTTAAAACTTGGATGAAGCCATCTACACTTTCAGCATACCCACTCCTGCGAGCTCAGTGCCCCCTGAGGAAGACATCAGAGGACCCTCCATCAGCCCACTGTTTCTGGAGGCACAGTGCCCACTCCACAGGGGCTGCGGCATCCCCTGAGAGAACAGCTCAGCTCTCACACTTCCCCAGGATCCATGAGTGTAGAAAGTGCAGCTTAGGCCTGAGAATGCTCTTTACCTGGAGTTGGAATGGAAAAGTCACCCCATCTTTGAACAAGTGTTGCTTCAACCACTTTGTAACCAAATAACCATGAGAAAGTTGTTTTATCTCAGAATGAGAGCTTCCTCAACTGTAATAGGAGGGTATTAAGAGAAGTTCACTCATAGGGTTACTCTGAGAATGAGATGAGATCATGCCATGCAGACAGTCATTACACAAAGATTGTTGTGTTTCCAACAGGCATAGGGTATGGTGCCCCTTCACATTTGCCAGATCACCCACTAGGTCTAGGTCACAATAAAAGAATCACAATAAAATTATTAAGTGGTGGCAAATAAAAATAAGAAGTAAGAAAGAAAAGGGAGCCAGAAAGATAAAAGATCTGAGCAGAGAGAGACTGAACTACTAGCTGGGAGCTCCTGAGGTGGCACCTCAGACTCAGGAATGAGCCCTTGCTGGGGCAGCCGGGTGCTGAGCATTCAGGCCTTCCCTGTTGTCGGATAGTCTCACAGACAGATTCTAGCTTTCATCTGTCCACTCCAAGGCCCTGGGCTTCCAAGGTGGTGCAGTAGTAAAGAATCCACCTGCTAATGTAGCAGACGCGAGTTCAATCTCTGGGTCAGGAAGATTCCCTAGAGGAGGAAATAGCAACCTGCTCCACTATTCTTGCCTGGAAAATTCCATGAACAGAGGATCCTGAGGGCAACAGTCCATGGGGTTGCAAAGAATAGGATATGACTGAATACACATGCATTCTAAGGCCCACCTGGGTGTTGGAGGCTAACAAAATCCCACTTTCTCTCTTCCTGCTGTGCCCTCCAAGCTGAGATTGGTCCCAAGTCCAGTATGCATATCATGGTGTTGACCCCACACTAAGGTGGCATCTGGCTCAGTCCAGGCTCTTTCTGCCAGGGGACACATAGAGACATGCATCCCATCCTAAACTTTCTCCCCGAAACCCCATCACCCCCCATACACACACACTCAAGACCTAGGCAAGAGAAATGCATCTTCTCTGCTGCCTCTCTAGTTTGAGAAGGTAGACCAGAAGGCTAAGCCCACTCCTGCCTACATTGCCTAAGAAGAATCATGAGTACTCATTCATTGAGCAGTTCTAGGACAGCAGACAAGGTATGCATTTGCCCCAGTAAGCACTAACTGCTATGCATAAATTTCTCTAACCAGTACAACCCTGGGAGGGAAGCGTTATTTCCTCCTTTTTACTCATGAGAAAACTGACATTCTGAGAAGTTAACAGTTATGGCACAAGGTGGCCGAGCCAGAATCCAAACTCAGGTTTCTCTCTAAAACCTGGTTGTTTTAACATGTGTGTCCATCTAAATTAACTTCTTGCGGTAAATGCTAATATTACGAGCTCAGAGTTGAAGAAATTAAATCTCAGAGAAATTTAGCAACTTGCCTGCAGTCACACAATTATTCCTTTGTCCCATTACCTCTTGTTTGCTGATCTCCTTCGTCCCTGTCGACTGCCCTCGTGGAGCCTGTCATTTCTCTCCTCAGGTTGGAGCTGACTAGGTGAGCATCCTCCTCCTAGTCTGCAAACCAAAGTGCCTAGTACGTGCGGGGTTGTTGAACTCCGTGCTTAGTCAGTCCTTGCTACTTGAAATGGATCCCAAATGGCGGCCAGAGCCTCTCCTCAGCCTCTGCCTCCAAGGGTCCCTTGGGCCCAAAGAAGTGTGATGACCTCAGATTGGGCTAAAGGCAGTAACAAGGAGCTGCCGGCATGCAGCCTAGGGTAGCAGACAGAAGGCCCCAGAGCAAGTCTGATTTAATCCTGTAATGGAATGTGACTCAGATAAGACTTTTATCAACCCTTCCTAGGCTGTGAGGGAAAAAGAACCATCCCGGAGACATGAAGGGATGCTTTCCATTGTCCTGGGGCTGCCCAGGTGTCCCTGAAGGCCTGGCCCTACTGGAAAGACCAGGGGAAAGCAGAGGTATCAAGGAGCACTTGGAGGTATTTGACTCAAATTTTCAGGACTGAGGGAACAGGAGGGAGGCAGAGAGGATATTAAACTCTAACAATAACAATAACAGTAATAGCTGCTATTATTTATGAGGCATTCTACTAGGCTTTTAAGTGTTTTTGCAATAGGTACCATTATCATCCTTATTATAGAAGTGGAAATCACACTCAAGAAGGTAAGTCACACAGTTGCTAAAATGGGAGAGCTGGAATTTCCACCTAAATCTGCCTGACTCCACTGCCCTCTGGCCTTGCCATGGTGCCGATGGACAGTGCACAATCACTCTTGCTCACACAGTCCTTCACTCCCGGAACCTTTGTCAGCACCCCATGCATGTCTCCTCTTCCTGGAATTCTTCCAGGAAGCTTTATGTAACCACAAGCTGCAGCCTCCTCAACACCCCAAAAGGGAGAAAATACAGGATAAAGCAAGGTGAACTGACCAATCATGAGTAGAAAGGCTTTACAACCCCCACCTCTGAAACCCCAGGGGTAGCCACACCAAAGGCAAAGTGGTGTCTGGCCTTCGGCCAACTACTTTCTCTGTCCCTCGCCACCTCCCTACCCCCAGCCTAAGCTCCCTACCCTCACTTATCATTTTCTTCCTAGATCAACTTAACTTTCCAGGCCCCACTTCACTTGTCTTGTTCATTCAGGAACACTTCTAAGTACTCATTGTTAGCAATAGACTAGGGATTCACCTCCCTTGCCAGAGAAGAATATGTACAATGCAATATTAATAGTAATAATAGCTAACACTTACTGAGCACTTACTATGTGCCAGTCACTTTTCTTTCATTTTGAGCTTGAAAATGCAGGCAAAACAAGCAGTAGCTTTTATGTCAATATACGAGGAGACAGGGGAGGGATCTAATGTTCCATAAGCTTTCTCTGCATGGAGGCCCAGTACCCTCTCAGGAGACAGAGGAGTGTGGTAACAAAAATCATGGACTCTGGGTCTGAGGTCAGCTCCATTACTGACTAGCTATGCATTTACAGACAAGCTAATCCTCTGAGTCTCAGTTTCTTCCTTGATAAAATGTAAATAATAATAATTCTTATTTCCTAAGGTTGTTGAGAGGTTTAAAGAAATGATGGGTATAATATGTTTAGCAAACTCCCTAACCTGTAATAATAATCAATCAATGTATAGCAGTTATTACTTATTAAAATACCATTAGGATAAAATAGCTAAATTTCAAACTTTTTTTAAGTTCCTCGGACCTAGGCAGGATTTTGTTGTTGTTGTTAATTGCATGGTTGCAGTTGTCCAGACTTAAAACTACTGTGCTCCTTGGGACTAATAGGTCAATGGCTTTCCACATCATTCTGCCTGCTGCTTGGAAGCCTACCTGGCAAGAGTTGTTCTAACAGAAGTGGTTTGGGGCAAGCACATAGAGATCTAATTATCTGGGCTTGGGCAGGAATTTCCACTGGGAAAGCCAGAGGGACAGCATTTCTGGATTTGTTTGTTTCACATATTAATGTTAGTTTGCTAGGGCTGCCTAGCAAATGTGGTAACAAAGTACTATAAAATGGGTGGTTTAACCAACAGGAATTCATTGTATCAGAGTTCTGGAGGCTGGATGTCCAAAATCAACCTGTGAACAGAGTTGGTTCCCTCTGAGGGCTGTGAGAGGATGGGTTGCAGTCTTGTCAACTAGCTAGTGATTTGCTAGCCATCTTCAGTGTTCGTGGCTTGTAGGATCACCACCTTGATCTCTAACTTCATCTTAACCTGATATTCTCTCTGTGTGCTTGTCTACGTCCAGTTTTTGTCTTTTTTTAAGGACACTAGAGCTTTTGGATTAGAAGCCCACCCTTCTCCAGATTGACCTCATATTTTTTAAAATTGAAGTTTAATTAATTTATAGCATTTCTGATATATAGCAAAGTAATTCCATTATAAGTTATTATATGATACTGAATATGGGTCCCTGTGCTATACAATAGGTCCTTGTAGATGGATCTATTTTATATATAGTAGTGTATATCTATTAATCCCAAATTCCTAATTTGTCCTTGCCCCCTCTTCACCTTTGGTAATCTTAAATTTGTTTTCTGTGTCTGTGAATCTATTTCAGTTTAGTAAATAAGCTAATTTGTATCATTTTTTATATCACATATATAAGTGATATCATACTTGTCTGACTTACTTCACTTAGTATGATAATCTCTAGGCCCATCCATGTTGTTGCAAACAGCATTATTTCAGACTTCTCTGGTGGTACAGTTGATAAAAATCTACCTGCCAATGCAAATGACATGGGTTCAATCCCTGGTCTGGGAAGATTCCACATGCCGTGGAGCAACTAAGCCTGTGCACCCCAACTATGGAACCTCAGGCTCTAGAACTGGTGTTCTGCAACAAGAGAAGCCTCTGCAATAAGCTTCCACACTGCAACTAGCAAGTAGTGCCCATTCTCCACAACTAGAGAAAGCCTGTGTGCACAAGCATAAATATAAATAAATTTAAAAAAACAAATAGCATTCTTTCATTCTCTTCTATGAAAGTCAAAGTCTGTCATAAGTCATGTCCGATTTTTTGCGACCCCATGGACTGTAGCCCTCCAGGTTTCTCTGTCCATGGGATTTCCCAGGGAAGAATACTGGAGTGGGTTGTCATTTTCTCCTCCAGAGGATCTTCCTGACCCAGGGAGTGAACCCAGGTCTCCTGCTTGGCAGGCGGATTCTTTTACAACTGAGCCACCAGAGAAGCCCCATTCTCTTCTGTGACTAAGCTATATTCCACTGTATATACATATATATATGTATATAAAACATCTTACTTATCCATTCATCTGTCGATGGACAGTTAGGCTGCTTCCTTGTCTTGGCTATTGCAGACCTCATCTTAACCATATCTGAAGTGTCCCTGTGCTCAAATAAAGTCACATTCTGAGGTACTGGGGAGTTAGGGCTTCAACATATGAATTGAGGGGGTGT